GGTGTTAATCAAGGATACAAAGTTTCAGTTATACAAAATAAATATGTTCTGGAGAACTATATAACCTGGAGCTTATCATTGACCACACTATGTTGTGTACTTAAAAATTTGCTAAGAGGGCACATCGTATATTAAGTGATGTTACCATATAAGAAAAAAAATGCCAACAACAAAGGGGTCAGGGAGAAACTTTTGGAGCTGATAGATAGGTTTACAGCATTGATAGTGATCACGGTTTCATGAATTTACATTTATCACCAAACACATGAAGTTTCATACATTAACTATTAACAGCTTTTTATGTGTCAAACATCGATGAAGTGGTTTAAAAAATTATGTTTGAAAGATGGCATAGAACGGCGGTCCCCAATTTTTCTGGCAACAGGGACTGGTGATTCTATGAGAATCTAATGCCTGATGACCTGAAATGGGGCTGAGGTGGTGATGCTGGTGCTGGGTATGGCTGCAAATGCATACGAAGTTTTGCTCATTTGATGCTCACCTCCTGCTGTACAACCTGGTTTGTAACAGGCCACAGACCAGTACCAGTCCGTGGCCTGGGGCTTTGGGACCTATGACATAGAAGGTAGAGGCTGTACACACCTTCGCTAGTGACCATACCAAAATTATAATGAAACAATAGAGCAACCAGTATGCAGAGTTGCCAGAGGTCTTGCTGAACAGAAACCTTACAACTAGGTCGCCTCAAACAACAGCCCGGTTCCACAACCACAAGTGGCCACCGAGAATCGGGAAAGCTATCTTGGCTGCAGAGCCCGCTCCCCAACCTGAGGAGTGAGGGGTCCTGGCTGCACACTGGGCTCCCCAGTTCTGTGTTCCAGTGCCAGGAAGAGAAGTCCCCACAACCTCTGGCTGTGAAAAACAGCGGAGGTTACAGCTAAGTGAGATGGTGGGCTGCGGGAAGCGGAGGCCTGCCTCTTAAAGGGCCCATGCTTGGCTTTACTCTCTGATGGACTCACTAGCTCTGAGCTCCAGCACTGGGGTAGCAGCTCAAGGGATGCCGGAGACATGCAGAGAGGCGCTGAATTGCCCAGACTTCAGGGGGCGATCTGGAGGAGCGGTATACTCCTGGACAGAGGTGTAGGCAGAAGCCATTGTTCCTTTGTTGAGTCCACTCCCATCTCAGCCTGCAGATGCAGGTGCCATAAACTTGGATAACACAGGTGACTCTACCCAGGGGAGTCCCTGAGACTCTGTCTATACCAATTTTGGGTCTACCTAAGCTGCTTTCAGTGATTTTATTCCATACCAATGGGCTGTCTTGGCTCCTGATGCAAACTTTCATAAAATCTCTCAAAAGCCCAGAAAACCCAAAGAAGCAACATCTGGCCTGGGAAGGCCATGTACCTCTTGCTGAGCAGCTCCAACCTCTGCACTAGTGGCAGCCAGCCTTGGTTTCGGACTTGAACCTTCTAGACTCCTATAAGCCCAGCAGGTCTGTGCTAAGGGGCCCCACAGCGCACCTACTACATAAAGTCATTCTACTAAGACTGGGAGACTTAGGAGCCTTACATAGTACAAAGAAACAGACTCAGGGAGGCAGTCCAAACAGGGAGACAAAGAAACATGTCCCACTAAAAGAACAGAACAAAGCTACGAAATAAGAATTCACCACAATGGAGACAAGCAATGTACCAGATGCAGAGTTCAAAACACTGGATAAAAGGATTCTCAAGGGATTTAGGAGAAGAGTAGATTAATTCAGTGAGAACTTTAACAAAGAGATAAAAAACATAAAAGCGGAGATGGAAATTATAAAAGGAAACCAGTTAGAAACGAAGAATACACTCATGGTTAGAAAGTATTTCATCTGAGATAAAGAGTATCTTAGAGAGAATCAACAGAGTGGAGGAAGCAAGGGATTGAATAACCAATATAGAAGATGGGGTAGTGGAGGACACCCGATCAGAATAGCATCAAGAAAAAAAATCCAAACTAATGAAGAGAGTATAAGGAGCCTATGGGATAACATCAAATGTCACAACATTTGCATCAAAAGGGTACCAGAAGGAGAAGAAGAGCAAGAAGTTAAAAATCTATTTGAAGAAATAATGATGGAAAACTTCCCTCACCTGGTGAAGGAAATAGACATACAACCCTAGGAATCTCAGAGTTCCAAACAAGATGAACCCAAAGAGGCCTACGACAAGACACGTCATGCTTAAAATGCCAAAGGCTAAAGACAAAGAGAGAATCTTAACAGCAGCAAGAGAAAAGCAGTTAGTTACCTACAAGGGAGCTCCAATAAGACTGGCAACTGATTTCTCAACAGAAACTTTGCATGCCAGAAGGGCTTTGCATAAAATATTCTAAGTGATGAAAAACAAGGACATACACCAAGATTATTTTACCCAATAAAGCTACCAGTTAGCATTGAAGAACAGATAAAGAGCTTCCCAGACAAGTAAAAGCTAAAGGAGTTCATTATCACCAAGCCAGCATTACAGAATATTCTGAAGAGACTTCTTTAAGAAGAAAAGTACATAGCAAATATATAAAAAAAGAATGGCAATAACTACATATCTATTAACAAGTACTTCAAGTGAAAAAGAATTAAGTGCTCCAATCAATAGAGAGAGTGACTGAATGAATAAGAAAACAAGACCCTAATATGCTGCCTATAAGAGACTCACTTCAGTTTAAAAGACACGCACAGACTAAAATTTAGGGGACGGTAAAAGATATTGTATGATGGAACTAGAGGATAGTGTGCTGAGTGGAATAAGTCAGACAGAGGAAGACAAATGCCATATGATTGCCTATACATGTGGAATCTAAAGAACAAAATAAATAAACAAGCAAACAGAAACAAACTTAGAGAGAACATTTTGAGGGTTACCAGATGGAGGGGTTTGTGGATGTCTGTGAAAAAGGGGAAGGAGATTAAGTAGGACAAATTGGTAGTTGCTATAGTCATGGAGATAGAAAGTATAGCATAAGGAATATAGCCAATAATATTGTAACAGCTATGCGTGTCCTAGAGTGCCACTAGATTTATCAGGGAGTTCACTTTGTGAGTTATATAGATGTCTAACCACTATGCTGTACACCTGAAACTAATATACTATTGTATACCAACTATAAATGAAAAATTTAAAAAAAAATTGTTATTAAGAAAATTATGATTGGAAGTATTTTCAACATAAAATTAGCTCAAGGGATTTGTCTTAAAATGTTTTATAGCACCAGAATATAATGCATTATTCTCCATGTTAGGGTTTGTGTTCTCTGGGTACCATCTATGGCTGATAATGACCAGCCTGGATTCAGAGATTCAGTTAGGGATTTTTGGTCTTCATTTGTCAAGCTCGCCCTTCATTCACGATCTATCTAAAAATAATATAATGCACATTTGATTAGGTTAAGTATAACAAATTATTATCAACTCCAAATTAAGCCTTGGGGAGGCTCATACCCCTTTCAATAGTTTCATCATAATTCCTTGACTTTTTCCTACAATACTGAACCTCAGTACTGAGCCACTTCAATACACTTTTCGGTACTCCAACGCTCAGGGGGGGACATTATCCCCATGTTCCTATAGCATCTAGGTACTATCCTCATGAGACATTTTCAAGTAGCCCTTAGAAATTATCTGGCTCGATCTTCATATTTTATGGAACAGGTGACTTAAGTGTTTGGAAGCTGACCGATTAGTTGAAGGCAACACCAGGTTTAGAAGCTAGGGCTTGTCTAGTGCACAATGATTCAGAATCTACCTTTGGTCCTTTTATATTTCACTACTACGTACTATAATCTGTAGCTGATCATAACACTTCTGTGATTTTAGAGCATGTTTGATGCTTCATTGTCAAAAAGATGAAATCTGAACTTTGTAATAGGACCTTCAAGGCCAATTATGATCCGCTCGTGGTTAGAATGTATTTCACAAAATTTACTTGTGGTTATCTAACCACAGGGTTTCAGTTAAAAAAAAAAAAACAAATAAAATAAAATAAAAAGTGTGTTAATCTTCTTAGAGGTATGTCCTCTGAAGGAAAAATAGACACATTTCTATCCTGGAAATAGGAGCTAAAAGCGTACACAAGTTAAGGACTGAGATAACAGAAATGATTTAAAATAAGTTATCGATTAGAAGTTAACCTTATAGTTTACAACACAAGTCAATTGGGAAAAATATTTGATTTATTTAAACTACATTTATTAGTAATATGAAGATAAGCAAATAACATATATTCTACTACCTTGAATTTTTGGAAGAAATCATACAAATATGGAATAAGTGTTCCCTTCTTCTGATATATACATACATTTTGTAGTGACAGCTTTAGGTTAAGAACCAACTTTAATTGTGCACGATGCACCTGAGGGGCTGGAGCTAGAATAAATAATGAAAAAAATAAGAGTATTGGTCACTTGTAGGATGCTGTGATCATTTCTGCTCCTTAGAGCTTTGTCTGAGATCTAAAATAGTTCTGTTTCTCTCCAGCATGGGAATAAGACATACATGTATAGTTACGCCAAGGGCCAAGAACAACAATTAAGAGTACAGTTGAAGCAAGTTATACATATTTCAAGGTGAGAAGTACTATGATCATTATTTTCTTGGGCTAGGCATGAAGGGAATGTGGACCCAAGCATTGGTATCATTTCCATCATTTCTTTCATAACCACACCTAATATACAATCTTCCATCATCTTATTTATTTAAGTACCTCTGGTAAATAGTTATTAATTCTGTTGAATGATGTCTATGGCTAGGAAGAAGAGAAATAAAAAGAATATATTACTAAATTTTAGAAATTTCAAGCACATGGTTTATATGAGGGAAGGATAAAAATTAAGCAATAATACTTGCAATTAAAATCAGTTATCAATATGTGCAATATTTAGGGAGAAGATAGTTACACACACCAAAGTAAAATTTGGCCTTGAGAAAACAAATTAATAATTCTCAACTAGAATGAAGACATATGGTTCTCTGAAGCCTTCTACTCCAAGGCTACATGATTTTTTTTTTATCTTGATATTTTCACTCTGCCCATCATTCTTTTAAGAGCCTGGTGAACCTGCTTATTCCACAGAGTGTAGATGACAGGGTTCAGCAACGGAGTCACCACTGCGTTCACAAGGGCAGCCTCCCTGTTGGCATCCAGCCTGTTTGTTTGCTTTGGTTTCACATATGTAAAGACACAGCTGCCATACATCAGAGACAGAACAATGAGATGAGATGAGCAGGTGGAGAAAGCTTTTTGTCGCTCCTTGGCCAATGAGCGTTGCATGATTATGTATACTATGTTGCTGTATGCAAAGATGGTTATGATGAGGGATGTCAACAGGATTCATAAAGCAAGGACAAAGGCGAACATTTCAACAGATTTGGTGTCAGAACAGGAGACATGAATCAGCGGGCCAAGGTCGCAGAAGAAGTGGGGGATGACATGGGAGCCACAGAAGGATAACTGTGAAATCTTCACAATCAGATCAGTAATAAGAGTAAAACTCAAAGCAAAGCAGCTAGTGACCAGGAAGGAGCAAGTCCTCAGGTTCATGATGGTCAGGTAATGCAGAGGCTTGCAAATGGCCATGTACCAAGCCAGAGACATCACTGCTATGAGGAAGAAAACTGTTGCTCCCAGAAATATGAAGACAAAGGCTTATATGAAATAGGCAGTAAGGGAAATAGTTTGCTTGCCTAAAAGAAAGATGATCAGAAACTTAGGAATAACAATACTTATGAAGCAACACTCAAAGGAAGAGAAAATGCTGAGGAAATAGTACATAGGTGTCTGGAGTTGGGAGTCAGTACAGATGATAGTAACTATGACCCCATTACCTGCAATGGACCCCAGGTACGCCAGCAGGTGCACCAGGAAGAGGACCTTTCCGAGATGCTGGACAGTAGGAAACCCCACCAATATGAATTCTTCGACAGTTGTCCCATTTCCCATTTCTATGAGCATCTCTTTCCATAGCAGCATTACCTGCTGGTCTTAACCTACAATAAAGAGATCAAAGCAAGTGCAGATGTTTTAGGGGAGTACATAATCAAGTTATCTGACTATCTGAGAAGAGGGCGACGCAGATATAAATCTGTGCAGAGAGTTGGCTCTTGAGTCAGAAGTACCTGAATTCACTACTAGTTCAATACTGAGTTATAACCCTGGAGAGATGGGTCATCTTTGGAAAGCCAGTTACCCTTTGTGAACTTTACTTTCATCCTCTGTATCTATCTGCTCATGGGATGTTGTTGTTTCAAACATCAACGAATTCCTCAAAGTCTAATTGTAATATTACGATCATTAGTATACTCTTAAATCTGGTGTGATTAGTAGACAGGGTATTGACATTTGCACAGTTATAAAACATTTTATTGTATTTTATAATATTGTCTGTGAATGAATATGATAATAATAGTAGTAATATTCCCTATTTAAAAAGTATACTTTTTAAAATATGGAACAAATTCTGTGGTCTAAATCATCATCATCATCATCATCATCTTCACCACCATCTTCTGTTTAGGACTTTAAGAATGCTTGTTACTATGCCATTAACCAATATTTCTATAACTATTTCTATTACTTTCCATAATAATTATGAGTGTTAGGTTGTCCCCAACCCTTCTTCTCCAGAGGGGATATTGAGAATTAGAGATTCTCAGAGAGGTTACATCACATAGCTGGAAAATGCGGAGCTGGAACTTATCTATATCTGCCCAAATCCAAAGCCTCTGCTGTTTCCAAATGCTAGGACAAAATATTTTAAAATAGGAACAAACTTGCTGATCTCTCAACCTTACATGAAAGTTTAGCATTATCTTAATTTTTTTCTATCTTTTAGTTAATATTATGAATGAATTACTGACCTACAGAATGACATGGGCCTTAGAGATGACCTACTTTGCACAATCATTTTATAAAAAAACCGGAGATCAGAGATGCTGAGGGTTGCTCAACAATATGGTATAAGCTGAAAATCCAGGATTTACCCTGCTCCTCCGGAGCTCCGTCTGGCATGTAAGAGAGGCAGAGAATGACAATTCACAGGTTTAGTTTACTTACGGAGGAATTTCTGGAAACTTGGTACCCTCCCACTCACTCTTACATCAAAGCTCAATGAACTTTATCCTTCACTCTTCAGTCCTCTCAACAAAGTACTCTCATAATGGTGTTTGGTTCTAACATTTTAATACTAAGGTGAAGGTCTATAATGTGAAGTGTGTCTCTCTCACTAACCTTCCATGAGCCAAGTTCTTTGAAGTGTTGCTCATACAAACAAACTGCTCGCGGTTTTGTGGTGCTGCCAGTAAGGCAACCTGAAGTCTCTGCTTCTGTATCAGTTGACAGCAGTAGGTCCATCGAGCTACTACTATCCTTGAGGCCAAGTACACACATGAGTCACTTCATGGGGGGTGGGCAGGACTTCCTTCTCTTGCAGGTAATCCTTTCCAAGAAATTGAGAGCTTGACTTTGGCTGAGGGGAAAGGAGAGGAATAGAAACTCATTTGTCATAGCCTGTTGTACCAGATGGGGTGAATATGCACCCCAGGTTCCCATTGTCCCTATCAACAAAACTGTTTCTATAGTCCAAAATGTTTCATACCACAATCAGGCTACAAAGCAGCCTGGACTACCCACACCCCAGAAAGGAGCAGACAGAATAAAACAAGCACATTTTAGTGCCCACAGTTCTGGATGAGAGCTTGATTCTGGAACTACTGGGGGTTCTGATGGAATGTCTTGCTCTATCTCCTCCACTGGTAAATGCTCAGATAACTTGCAAAATTTCTGTCCACTTTTTATATCAGCTTATGGGAGTAGGAAACCTCTGAGGTCAGCCCTGGAAACTGCAATGACAAAGCTCCTTCTGCTAAAGGAGAAGGAGCACATTTACTCCCAGACACCTATAATACCATATTCCTCCATCATATCCTTACCTTTTCACTGGAGTAACATCCTCGTTCTACTGCAACAAGAGGTTTCCAATATGTAGGTCTGAGGTCTCTGTGATAGTTTTCTCACAAGATATTTTGGTCACCAAGCAAAGTATACCCAGCCAGTGAACAGAGATCCCAGGCTCCCAAACCTCATTAGGAGCTGAGGGCCAGGGGCAGAAAGAAGATGCAGGGCTGGTGCCCTGGAGGCAGCTAATTGATCATTGTTGAGAACAAGAGCTACTGGCCCAACAGTTATATCTATCTTTCCATTGTCTGTGATGACTTGGCTCCCAGATGGCAACACTGTTCTCTGCCAGGATTTTTCGAAGAAATTATATGACTTAATTTCCCAAAGATTTCTAAAATCCCAATTTGAATGTTGCTGCTAATTTGAGGGAAAATTCCAACTAAAACTTTCTACCTGTTATGTGCACACTAAAGCCAGAGCAAGAGGTTGAAAAAGATTTTATTATGAGAAGGAGCTGGATTACACCCTGGCTTTTATTATGCTTTGGGAAAGATATTGATTCCTGAGGAAGGAGATGGAGGAAATCCATAGTCCTCTCAACAATTCTTTATGTCTCCACCAACATTATGATTCTTTTCATTGGAAATTTTTGTCTGAATAATTTTTTGTTGCCCTCATCAGTTTTCTTGAAAAATGGAAGCACACACTTCTTCCTCTTCAGAAAAGAAAGGGAACATTAGGTGGTTACTCTGACATCACTAACCTGGCCAGCCTCTGTCTTTTTGAAAGTATCTTGGAAGTGGATCAACTTCCCAGTTTCTTTCTAGAGGCAGAAGAAGAAGTAAGACATGTGAGCCCTAGGCTGAAAAAAGCTGTTGCTATAGCAACCATTGGCTTAGAAGGCTAGTTCTCCAGGATACAGCAGCTAGGCTGCTGTGACATCAGTGACCAAATTATTTTGTGGCCTCTGGCTTCCCATCAAAAGTCAGAAAAAGGGACTAAACTCCCAGTGTGTTTGCAGATAACTCCGGGGCATATTGTAGCTACATGGAGAAATGTTCTGTCTGAATCTGTCCTCACCAATCTTGACCTTACAAAGTCAAAGCAAATATCACAAAAATTTTTATGAGTAGTCATATGGGTTCCACTTTTTCACAAACAGATAAAAGTGTTTCTGTAACATCTAGCTATATGCACACTCTATTTTCAATCCATGCCAGATCTGAACATCATGGTCATATTCTCAGTTGGAAGTTAAGGAAAATAAAGAGAAATGAGAGATGAGTTACGGAAGCTGGAAAAAAGTGAGACTATACATATTAATGCCCATATAATGGCTCATCTACATGGGGTTGTTTTAATTTTATTCAGTGCCATCTTCATGTGCAGAAATACTTATTCCACTTGCGCAAGTCTCAATTTTAACATTATGTGTGAGGTGGGAGGATAGTGGGCTGGCATGCGGTTTTCATAAAACAGCTTACAAAGGGACACTCAGATAGAAGTGGGGTGAAATAACTATATGATGCATCTCGCTTAAGGGGTGGTGACCTGGCTCCAAGAAATGTTTCAAATTTTCCTTGGTCTTTGTTTCTCTTTTCTGAAAAGTGCCTTCACAGCTACCCAGTACCCAGTGTTTACGAATGCCTTTAAACAGTACATTGAAATCTCATTTATTTTTGAAATTTTTCAGTATTCCTTGTGCTTTGAAGATTTAGTTAGCCAATCAGAGTAATGAAAAGAATGGTTCTTAAAGTTGCATTTGTGATTATCTAAACATGGAGGGATAAAGCAAACATCCAGCTTGTAGATTTATTTCTACCACTTTGTCCTGGAGCCACTCTTCAAAAATTAGACTACACCAATATTCAGGATTTAGATAATAAGAATATTTTGGATTAAAATGTATCTGGTTAATATGATCTATTCGAAGAAAGGTTTCTATTTCTAGTATTATGCCCTTAAGTAAAAAGACTAATAGGCCTACAGAAAGCTAAAAGATCTATCATTTGGCAAATGGACTATAGGATGCTAAATTGGACAGGAAATGGGGGTTGGGATGGGAAGAAGCACGGTCAGCAGGCTGAACACCAGTCTGAGGATGAAGTTGTGTAATACCAATAATACTTTGAGAATCAAACCGTCCTTCATGGAATTTCCATAAAAGTAAGCCAACAATCCAAATGGGGACCCAATGGGGACCCAAATGGGGACCCAAACACATCAGTTCTGATCCAAAGGGCTCAGTAATATCACATCCAATACCTCCCATTCATGTGTGGAAAAGCATATTAGTGTAAATATCTTTCGACTTGGGACCAAGAGGGTACGCTGAACGTATAGGGTAATTTATCATATTAGGATTTCTTTATTTTCTCTTTTATTCATGCATGAAAAAATAAATATTTTATTTTTTAATGAAACTCCTATTGTAGAATTATTAAGTTGAATTATGTGGGTGGGATAGAAAGAGGAGGAAAAAAACTATTTGTAAACCTCAGAATTGAAGCTGTTTTGTAAGGTTCCGAATCCTTCACTATTACTTTCTTGGTAGGATTTCTTGTGGTTGTTTTACCTTTGATATGTGGATGCTCCAAGTATTGGGGAGAGCACGTATTGTTCTAAGTGGTGTCTTTAACATCAAGATTCTTAAGCATCTTTAACTCAAGACCTTTCAAGGACGAAATGATGAATGGTATATTTTACAAGGTCAAGATTTCACGCAAGGTATAGAAAATCCACCAACGATATCCTCAAAACGAACTCCTTGAAATGAGGACTAAGTTCACATTTACAAGTTCACACCTCTCCTGATAACACCATTATAGCTTATTACATGATGTGGAGTTTTATAACAGTAAAACTTTACGTTAGAGGAGAAGATGAAAAATGTGCAATGAAAATAGAAAACTAATTTATATAATCCTGTTTTAGAAAATGTGATTCTTTTGGCTGGGCTTGAGACATCACCCCACCAATTAGTATTGCATTGGTTTGTATCATATAGTCAGTTTCTAAGATTCCTAAGATTCAGTAAACCAGACTGATGTCTTTCCACACATAAAACTCTGGAG